ATGGATGCCATTAATCATTTTGCTTCTTTTTAAAAGGATATTTACGTGTAAGGGATGCAGGACACAGAGGTAACAAAATCACTTATCAATGCAAGATGTGTGTTCACACATCAAACCAACAAGACTTTCTAATAAACGCTTTTGTCTTCAAGTCACCCCCAAGGGGTCAAGAAAGGATTTATAAAAGCAGAGCATTATAATAACAGTTCTTATAACGCATTTCGCGTACGCTTTAATGTGTTTGCAATGTTTGACCAATTCTCAACGGGACTTGAGATTCTCGATCTCCTGCCTCCAGTTTTTGCAGGTTTGCTAATTTTAATTTTACACATTGTGGCATCAACAAATACCATATTATGCAAGATCATTACACTTACATACATGGTGCAAAATACAAGATGTTACAGTAATAACCAACTAAAGTTACAACATTATTACAATATGATCAATGACAAATGTTTTTTGTTATATCAATAGATGAAGATGTCGAAGGGTATGAAACACCATAATAATATTATACATATATAAGTGCTGTGACTCGCCGCTGATAAAATTTGGCAGTGTCAACATATACAAACGGAGCTATGTTTTCTGATTTGGCCATCATGCATCTCTGCATCTGTACAATCCAAAATACATGTAAAAGGAAGCTTGTGGAAATAAATGACAAATACGCGGTGGTGTGTAAACAAAGTGTTAAGGCACCTCTCGTTGCTTTCGAATTTTACTTGCCAATATTTTTTCAATTGCAAGTTTGTGAAGGACCATCGGCATTATCACAGTTGAATGTCTGATTATCAGTGTCTACAGTTTGAGGGTGTTTTTTTTGCTGAAAACTATACTGGTAATTTGAGCTCTTGACTAGAATAGCTGTTTTTGCGATACGCGATAGCATCTCCGTTTGATATTTTGCCCTCTGCTTTTTATGAGACGTGATTGTGTACATAAAAGTTTCAATTTGAACAGACATGTAAAGTTTCAGAAAACTTTCGAAACGTCCAAGAGCTTTGGAAACAATATTTTGTCTCCTGCAGTACAGTCCGCTTTTGAAATTAACATCGCATGCAATTTTTCATCATGGCAGTTGCAGTCACGCGTATCATGTTCCATCGCAGAACTGAAGAAACAAGCCCAATTTTAAGAGAGATTATCTTGCAGACCTCAAACTACGGTGGCCCATATATCAATATATGCAATGCACAAATATTTTTTTCCAGTGCACAACATACATTTATTCAGTGCACAAATGTATTTCTGAGTGCACAAATCTATTTCTCAGTGCACAAATTAATTTCTCAGTGCACAAATTAATTTTTCAGTGCACAAATCTATTTCTCAGCGCACAAATGTATTTTTCAGTGCACAAATGTGATTCTCAGTGCACAATTGTATTTTCACAGAACAAATGTATTTTCAGTGCACAAATGTATTTCTCAGTGCACAAATATATTTCTCAGTGCACAAATGTATTTCTCAGTGCACAAATCTTTTTCTAAGTGCACAAATGTATTTCTCAGTGCACAATTATATTTCTCAGTGCCTGGTTACATGGTTTCCCGTGCATTTCTGTTGCTCAGTTGGGATATTTTGCTCTTGTTATTTGCCTTGCAAATCGATCGGCCTTCGAGAATATTTTAATTCCACACTGGAAAGCATGTTTTGTTCTTGCTGTGGCGCTCAAGTGCAAATTTCCTTTTCATTCTGTCCTAGTTGTGGCGGGAGCCTTAAAAGTAATAATGACCCAGATTGCATTTCACGTGTGGAGAACGTCGGTCGGGAGACTGCTGCTATAAACTCCCGAAAACGTGCTTCCAGTTCTATATTAACCAGGCCAGATTTACTTAGGGCCAAGCTGCCAACATTCGAGCAATTTGCCTCCAAGAAATCCGATAACGGCGAGGCCATTTTAAACCAAAGTCTTCCAAGCATTCATTGGCGATGACCGAAAAGGAAGCAACCATCAACATTGCTTTGATGGAATATGTCACCAAGGAGGAGGGAGAAATTTTAAAGCCTGTTAGAGGCAGCTCGCTTCCTCTCAAAATAAAAACTGACGCCAGGTACGATGAGGTTTTAGAAGCAGCGTTGAAAAAAAGGGAAGACTTCGATCACAAGTTTTCACAGACTATGCACAGAGGATATGTCCTCGCACATCCGGACTTACGAATAGCGAAGAAGATACCGGGAACTTCGGACGAGTTCGTTCTTAGCGATTACAAAGATTGGCTGGGGAGACTGTACTCCAGGATTAACTTGTACCTGAGCCCAATTGAGTGGAAAGACATCGGGGAAAGTGACAGCACTGCATCAGAGGTGGAAATTATCGAATGATCAGAGCTTGAACATGATATTAACTCTGATAACATAAGTTTAAGCTTACCTGAAATGGATAATTCAGCAGTCCCGGAATTAATGCCTTTGATTCCAAAACAGAATGAAGACATAATTTCCACTGCAGACCTATCGTTCGTGGCCACGGACTTTCTGTAAGTTGTTCCTTTTGAATGCTTTTGCATGCACCTGTTTAATAGTGTACATGTTCAAGAAAGTTCAAAATCAGTAACGCGCATGTGGAGTGTAACTCTTAATGCATATTCCCGGTAACTCTAAACTTATTATTTGTAGACGACTAGAATATTAAAATCTATGATTATTTAATAGGTATAGTGCATTCATAACAAAGTTATTTTATTTTAAAATGTTTACTTTATTGTAAATATTATTATAGTAGGTCCACATCAGCTGTAAAGTTGCTTTTTCTCTTTTGACCTGCTTTACCAAAATTAATAAAGTTATGTATGTATGTGTATATGTATGTATGACACTCACAAAGTCAATGAGAACCACAGTGGCCTAATGGCTAGCAAACTCAATTCAAATCAGTTTTAGTTCAAACTCTCACAAACATTAATTGTACAGAGGTGTCAGAAAAAATAGAATAAATATAAATATTTTCAAATTACATATACAGAACTCTTCTCTGTAGCAAACTGAACTCAGGATTGTATGAGTTTAAGCCCTGGGCAGGGTCACTACGTTTTGTTCTCAGGCAAGGCACCACTTTCACTTTTAATGTACTTGGCAAATTGTCAAGTCACAAGGGTGATGGGTGGGGGGGCTTACATTGTAGGAGTAGTGTAGGCAGAAGTCAAGAAGTTACTAAACATATATAGAACTTTTAAATGAAATAAAATGGACAAAATTAATATCCTGGCCTAGAGCAGGCAGACAATTGGAATTCAAGTAACACCGATAGATACTATCAGATTAATGCTTGACTGGGGAGGGGCAGTGCATGTACATGTAACTCGGTCATTGAGTAGCACTCCACAGGCAAAGCGTGACCTGGGGAACTAGGATAAGCTCTTTGTCCCAATGCTGATTTTTGTAAACAGTATATCATGTCATCTCTTATATCAAGTTTTAAACTCAGGATTTTAAATCTTTTCCATTTTACATTTTTCCCCCTTTTTTGGTACTGGTAGTGAGCTTCTTAACAAGCAGGTCATGCTACTATGGCAACAACCCGGGTTTTCCTTTTCAAATGAAGCAGCAGTCGACTTGAGCAAAGCAGGCGGAGATTAGTCGATATGTTAATTGCCAATGGGGTGCCAAAGGTGAAACGATCTAGGCCATCTAATTTGTTTTAAGACTGAAAGTTATTGAGAGCAAGGATTCTTTATCGCGCAATTGCCTGTGTCTGAGTTGTTCATAGGTGGCGAAAATTGGCAGTCACCTGCCATAAAGGAAAACCCTGAACAACAGATGTAAAATTTCTCCTTTTACACTAAATACATTTGTGCACTGAGAATTACATTTGTGCACTGAAAAATATATTTGTGCACTGAGAAATAGATTTGTGGACTGAAAAATTAATTTGTGCACTGAGAAATAGATTTGTGCACTCAGAAATACATTTGTGCACTGAATAAATGTATGTTGTGCACTGGAAAAAAATATTTGTGCGTTGCATATAATTATGGGCCACTGTATCAAACTCTAAAGAATGCACAAAATTTCGTAGTAGAATCTTTCTTCTACCTGTGTTTTCACAATAATTGTTGTGAAATTTGACATTTATTTTCTTGGGCTCCCATGAGAAATAGTCTTTGGTGTTATTACAGATAATAAATTATATCTATAGCCCTTGAAAATTGTAAAAAAGAATACGGTATTGTTTAAATTACTCCAATACAAGGTGTTTGTCCACTGAAAAATAAAATTACTCAATTTCCTGATTTTGTCTTAAATATTTTACCTGACGTTCCTAGGAGGGAAGAACTTGTTTTGGCTTGTTACGGATCATTTGTCAATTAGTTTTGATCATTTTTTATCATTTTGGGTTGTTGTGCATTGTTTTGGTCATTTAGGCTTGTTTGCCTGGTTCCTCATTTTAGTAACTACAGCCAAATGATACACCACAACACCACAGAGTGTCATCGAGTTGTTTAGTTTCACCAAATATCATAGGTTTAAAATAAGAAACACCGTACAATTTAACATCAATGCAACACCACACAAAATAAATAAATAAGCGACACTGCAACACCGCCAATCTACATTTCCTCCCCAGAAAGATTTAAAGAGGTTACATTGTTCCTTAAGGGAATTTCAATTACACAAGGGAGTTAGCTAAGCCACACAACATTCCTTAACTCATAAGATTAGAAGTAAATTCAATAGAGAAACAATTATTGTTACTTTCTTCAGCAACATTTTCAAGTGCTTATCTTCATACCTATTTAAAAGAACACTTTTTATTCAAAAATCAAAATTAGGGATTAATTTTCCCAGGATAACATAAAGTCCATAAAAAAGCAACGATTATTGACTGGTAAAGTAATTAAAACTGCTACTGGGAACCCTGTGTTAGGAAATGAAAAACTCACTGTTTCATAATTTACCGTGCGCGAGGCGTTCCGTGAACCGCAACCTCAAATTATTACACTTTAGCGTTCAAAAAAGCTTTTATGTGGTTTAAATCACCATTAAATCATAGCCTACCTTGGACCGTTTGTACGAAGAAGAATGGAATCAACGAACATGTGTCCAAATGTGAACACTTTCGGAGGGCCTCCAATCCTGAATACCCTGCACTTCAATACATGCACCTAGCCTGGAAACAGAGGAATAACTCAGCGAATAACTTCTGGTCGGAACTAATTTCAAAGTTTGTTCTAACTAATATTTCTTTTGACTAATAACTACTAACGTGTCGAAGCTTAAATAGCTCAAAGGGTATCAAATATTAGCTTTAATTACAGCTGCCATTTTGATAACAGCTCCGTGATGTTTATTCTATGTTGGGCTATAAGACGTTTTAGAGACGTTTCACTGCCAAGATGAGCGCTAACACAACCTAACAACTCTTCGTGAAATAATAAAAAAGTGATGAAACTTTTGTTTTTCCGGAAAAAAGGGCCAGAAAGAGCAACCAAGCTGACTTACCTCGCGCGTGTTGTGACACCTCCTTTGATAGTTCAGCACTTCAGCTGACCATAGCCTCGTTTCCAGGCATGTGTACACTGCAGGAGCCGGCTCCTGAATGGGGCAAACTTTGAGGTACACTGCAAGGTGATGTTTCCAGCATTTTGGTCTAGCGCTCGGCTGGTCAAACAACAAGTTAGAGAAATTAAAGTTGGAGGGTGGTTAAAAAGCGATGTTCATTGACCAAAACTCACTACAGTGTAATTGAATAGCTCTGACGTTTAGGTCGTAAAGAAACAGCAACATTTGTAAGCAATAAAATGAGATTGAAAATACCCTTGGAGATGGAGAAGTTCAGTTTTTAATAATAGCACCCTTCGAACAAGTATAAGCATTGTGAGACCCCAGCACTGTTGCCCAGGGGTACTCCTGGGAATTCTTCGTGTGCCGCCCAGTTCTCCAGACATGAGGGATTAAAAAATGTCATTTTCCACACCCGTTTTCAGACCTGGCCTTTTAATAGGCAGAAATAATACATCAGTCAATTCCAGTAGGGCCGAGCCCCCCCGGTACTGCAGGGTATTTGCTCGTCTTGTCAGTCCCGGGAGTGGGGCATTTGCAAATTTTGCACCGCCCGGAGGCCGGGCATTTGCCAACTCCAAGGCTATTCTCGAGCTTTTGACACGCACGCGGTTTCCTATCAGAATATAACTACACAGAAGGTTTTACAGCAAAAAAAGCAGATTGGCGCATCTGTCAAGGACAGGAATAAATTGAAGTTGAAAAGGCAAGTTCTTGATTTTATGCCTGCATTTCTTCCTTGCTTATCAAGCCATAATTACATAAGGAAATCCGGAGCTATCGATGTGAATTAACGTTTTTTGGTTTTTTAATCTAACTTCTGTTTATATTATTTGAAGAACATTCTTTTCATATTTATAAAACTACTCATAACATTTAACTTAACAGTGCTCTATAAATTTCAATGTTAATAATTTTATATCAATACTAAAACCATGAACTGGTGCATGTCGTCGAGGCACTCGCGGGCTCTAGCAATAAACTATGACCCGGACTCTCCAAGGACCTTCAAAAGTATTTGCTTAAACTGTAACACAGCCAGGTTTTTAGACCAAGAAATTAGCTGCTGCATGTGTATATACAGTCTAAAGATGAGGAATCTCTCGTGACACAAGCTTTTTATTAATGTCATTCAATGTGCACTGTAATGGCAAAAATAGCTTCCACTCTCATTTAATTCAGTAATATGTCAGAATACGTTAAGCTTCCTGACTTTAACCCTGATTGATTAGATATAGCCATGGTAAAAAGCTATGTAAGTTCAATGAAACAAGAATATATCTCATATTGGCAAAACACCCTTCAACATTCTCAACAACTTGAATGTTATAGATCTTTTAAAACCGATCATACCTCCTCTAGTTACGTAACCATAACAAGAGGAACCGCTGGGAGAAGGGCTTTAGTAAAACTACGAATAAGCAATCACAAACTGATGATAAAAATAGGCAGATACAATCAAACTACGATGGATAATAGGCATTGCCCTTTTTGTGGATGAAAGGTAATAGAAGACGAAGTTCACTTTCTTTTTCAATGTCCTACATACTATATGATTAGGAACAAATTTTACTATTAAGTCAAGACTCTGATTCCAAATATTACCCGGTAGCCTGAGTATCAGGCCCCCCTAAGGGGCTACGGGAGAGGAGAGTTTAGACGGGGGAGGGGGGAGGGGGAGAAGAGAAAATTGAAAACAATGGCAGTGAATAAAGAGGACGCTCACTTATAAACACCAAACCTGAGGGAAACATTGGCTATATTTGAGGTCCCACTTAAAAGCCTTCCCTGTTTTCAGTGTTCTTGAAACTTGCAGGGAAAATTTATTAACGATTGATCGCGAGATTGTCGAATTTATAAAAAAATTTATCGAGCGGTTTTTTTTAAAATGCGAAATTTGTAGGCGTGGACCAAATTACGTTCAAAACCTGTAACAAAAGCGGCTGAATGCAAGTTAATAAAATTCTTCTTGCTCCCGATCGCCCAAAGCAATTCCACTCTTTTTTTGTATGCAGTTTTCAATGGAATCAAACCACTATGGGATGAAGCCGCGTTTCCAAAGCTTATCATTTTCTTAAAATATTAGCGAATTGTGTGGATAGCATGCTATTTCACTGATTTTATGATTGTTAAAACTGCGTGTCAATATATTTCGAAAACGCTCTCATAGAATTTGTTTTAACTTTGCCATAATGGAGACAATTATGGTAGGTACATACTCCCTTAAGCGATTTCTTCAAAAAACTCCTGGTACAGAGAAACACAAAGATAAATAAAAAGCGTAATGGCGTCATTACGTTGCCATGGCGACTCCGATTGCAATAAAACCCAGATCCTAAGAAATTTTAATCTTTATATGATACAGTTGTGGTAATCTTTTTCCCATATGTTTACTCATGCCGACGTAGTTAATGTTCAAACGTGGGAGGTATGACCCCAAAAAATCCAGTTGAGCCACCTTAATGGAACTCCTTTTGAATATTATCTATATTTGTTGCCGTGTCCTCCTCCATTTATTATTCTTTAATCCAATTTATATAGCTTTCCTCTTATCGAATTTGAAACATTAGATTCATATTTTCATCTAGCAATTAATAAAGAATTTATTATTATTATTATTATTATTATTATAGATGAACATCATTGTAAGCGACTCGGAAGAAGTGAGAGCTTCTGTAATCTAAGTGCTTTTTTTGTGGTCCCATCGGTGAGTTCATGGTGTGTTTTTTTTTTTGCACAACAGAGTAGAGTGAGTTGACAGAAACATAGCGCTGAGGTGGTAAACGTTTTAATTACATTTAGCCTATAGAACAGCTTCAAGAAGATTATACGATGCAGGAAAATTCTGGCTTCAATGGTCATTAAAATTAACTTCAACAGGCAAAAGTCATAAAAAGACATGAGAAAAGTCCGTCTTACGGGTGTTTACGAAGCCAGTTTCATTTGACCTTCAAAAAGAACACAGAGGCTGCTTCAGTTTTTGGCTAACAGACCTCGCGGAATAAACTTCAAATTTAGGACACTGTGACATGACCATAACTGATCGATGAACACGGATCTGCTTCCTGGTATTGGAAAGTC